AGCAGTGAGTGGCATCCCTGAGCAGTGAGTGGCATCCCTGAGCAGTGAGTGGCATCCCTGAGCAGTGAGTGGCATCCCTGAGGTGTTCAGCCTGTACATAAAGTCCTAAAGCTTCAGTTCAGACACGCGCTCAAAAGTCCCAGTTTCGATCACTCAAAGACACGAAAAACTACCTCAAACACACCATACACATGAATGTTAATGTGAGTAAATAAATAAAAATTAATTCCTAGGGAAATGCTTCGCGACATGGGCAACGCTAACGCCTACATGGACATGGTGATGGCGAACACCGCCCAGCTCATCCTGGATACCGGCATGGAACCTCTGCAGTTACCGAACTCCCACCTGGACTTGGGATCTGATGTGAGTAACAGTTCATTGTTACCCACGGCTAGAGATTGAGGCTTGAAAATCATTAGCCACACCCTCTGAACGAATAGAGGCTTGTAATTAAAGAATGTTGATAGTTACCTTTGGCCTCAGCAAAGATTTTGGATCGTTATGGATGGCTTGAGCGACGGTTTTAGCTCGTTACTACTGGTCTGGGATCAACGAATGTGATCGTGACCTATGGCTTGAGCGCGGTTGTAGATCATGAGCCATGGCTAAGGCGTGGGTTATAAATTGACCATTGAAAAATCCATGATAGCCTAGGATCGAGGGTTGTTAATATTTACCCATGTAACGTGAGCAACTATATGGTTAACTTAGTGCACATGTGTCGTTGACGTGATTCATGTCTTGTGGACGCGGGCTTGTGTTGATTGATGTCCATGCAAGCTCAAGCGAAATTGACTACAAAATCTTGGAACAAAACGCATATTTGAACGATATTTTTAACAGATATATTTGCTACTAATCCAATTTGTGTATTATTTCTATTAAGAACTCCGCTGACCTGTGGAATGGAACCTTGGCCGGTCTTAGCACAGTCAGGAGGTCTGGCACGGCCACGGTGGACACGGTCGTTGATTGGCTGTTCCTATATGCCAATGTGGCTGTGGGGCCGCTAGAGGTGAGTTGCCTCGCTATATGGCAACACTGCCTGGCAATATGGCAGCACTGTCTGGCAATATGGCAAAACAAAACAACATAATGAGGCAAAAGGCGAATTTTATAGATATAATCGCAACTTTGTCATATACATGTCAGGCCATGGGCCTATTTCTTCAGTGCCGACACTTCTATTATTTTCTATATTACAACACTCGTTGTAATACGACGACCATGACTCGTTGTAATTTGAATATTTTTAAAGGAGTTTCACTCCTGATAAAATTATTCCGAGCATAATTGTCCTTCGTTAACTCCCATGGGCACCAGGCTCACTACCAGGGCACCGTGACTGACAGTGATGGCACCTCAGACTTCTTCGAAGCCTGGCTCAGCCTGGACGTGGCCGACGTCTACATCACGGCCAGAGCTGACCTCCACAGCCTCATTTTTGATCTGGATCAGTTCGTCATCTCTGAACTTGGGTGATTAAATAATGAATTGATTTAAGACTTGGTATTAATAGTATGAACGCCTTCAAGAACAGACAAGACGAAGCTATGCAGGACCATATCTTCAGTCTTAAAATGCCTAGCAAATTACGGACCAGGCAATAAGTCCAGCAGCTATCTCAATCAATCGTCAGTTATGGAAAGATCGGGTTCCTTTTTTTGGCCGGATCCCTTGTGAATCAAGTCACGAAAAGTTCAAAAATCGGCAACAGGCCATGGGCCTATTTCTTCAGTGTCAATTCTATTCTATTCTAATATGTTACGCAGGTCTTGGTGTTTAGACTCTCACGGTGCATAAATTAGCATTAACCTCAATCGCAAATATACCTAACATAATTAGGGTATTACCGTAGTATATGCCTTGATGTTAAGATGTTAAGATGTTAAATTTTGAGTAATGATAGATATCGCTATTCGAAGCTTAACTTAATACCTCAATTCAAAAGCATTAAATGGTATAATTCCAGTGTTAAGTAACTTTCACTACGGAATAAAAATTTCTCCAAGATATTCTCTTCAATAAAGTAGCCACTGTGACTGAAGCTGTGACTCAACTTCGCGTATCATGTACAATTCAATTATCAATAATATGGTTCACTTCACTTATCACTTCATTTATCAGGAACATGTTTCACTTCTTTAAAATGCCTACTAAAACGATCAACTTCAGTTCGCTAATGCGGATTGAAAAGAGAATTTCCTAGTAGTGGCTGATGGCTCGATTTTAATTTAAAAACATAGGGGAACGAGTTCTTATACATAGTATCATCTACTATACATTTCCCTCGCATCTAACCTAAACATCCACATTTGCAGACCAGTGGGGGTGGACATCCAGGGTTTGGGGGTTCTGGGGTGGCTGACAAGTTCTCTGACGGAGGTTCTGACGAACCATTTCCTGGATGACATCCAGTCTGCTTTGTCTGAGCAGCTGGCCAGCGCAATACAGACCGTCCTAAATGAGAACCCGTGGCCTGCCAATGCTGCTGAGAACCTCAAGCTGTAGAACTGTCATGTTCTAATAATAATAAATCTTAAAACACGGCTCCTGAGTTCTTAATTGAGCATCTACTGAAAATATGATACAAACGTAGCCAGAAATATCTCTCAAAAGAATACATATTAGAGAGAGAAAGTTTTACGCACAAAAAGTCAAATTTTGACTAATTGGTTTAAAGATAGTCATTATAGACAATCTTATCTATAATATTCGATGAAAAGAAAAAAATATGTAAGAAAGAATATATGTACATCTGTGTCAGCGGAACATATACTGAAATTGTAACGACACAGAAAATACTATTATTAGCCTGTGGTAAGACGACACGCTAAATGAGCAACGTTCCACATTTTGGACAAGGTGGCCCAGTGGTTACAGTTCCAGAGTTACAAGATTGGAGCAGGGACTCGTGGGTTCGATCCCGCAGCTACCTGCGACAGTTCTGGTCGAAATCTGCGAGATGGCCGGACGGTTAAGCACGTTAAAATTGTGGCAGTGAGTTGCATGTTCAAGACTCGCAACCAGCTGCAAAAAATTCTGCGATGTTCATAATGTCAGGTTAAATGGCGACAGGTCAAATAGCCTAATCAACGCTGACACCGCTTTACATTACAAATGTCAAGTTAAATTTCTTCAAAAACAGGTAATCTTAAGGTTGTCTGGGTTCTTCATGATTATGCAGGGCCAGAAATAATGGTATGTGGAGAGAGCAAACTCGATAAATGCCGCGACGAATGTTAGAATTCGTTCTGATTCGAGCTAATGGTTAAGCGAAAGATGTGGATATGATCCACAATATTTTATTAAATAACGAGACAAACAAGTCACCGGCAGAGTTCATAACAAATATTATACCTTAACTAGCTCAGCATATTTGTTTTTGTGAATTCGCATACAAATATGAAATAATTCGATAAGCTAAAATTCGCAATAACCTCACTATTATAGAGGTTTTGAATGCGGGGATTCTCTGATGATATCTACCGAGAGATCACAAGAGTGGAGCAGGTGTTGGCTGCAATTTGTCCATCATTCGCGGCTGTGACAAGGTGTTGGTTGTGGCATCTTTCGGTCGCCGCAATTGTTCTTTCGATCGGCTCGGCTGATGCTAGGAATTCTGTTACATGCATTAAGGATTTTATGTTGCCTGTTCAAAATTTATGTGTATTTTGCTCGCCATCGTTCCTGGCTGTAGTGAGAGGGTTCTACAGCGGGGTCGGACCTTGTGATTCGTTTTTGGGGACAACCGCATTAAAATCTTGAACCCGACTTGACAACTCCTTGGAAAATATATTCATCGTTCCCAGCGTACTTCACACAACCAAGCGGCGCTTTGGACATTGGCTAGCACCACAATCACCACAATTTAGACATTATGGAGTCAGATCGGCCAGACCTTGTTCAGTCACTGTTTCAACGTCTCTTGGAACGCGGACTCAAGCTCCTGACGTGTAAAACGCCAAATATAAGTGACGAGAATCATAATTACACCCATATCCCGTGTTGAAATCTGCGTTTCCCCGTCTCATTTATTGCATTTTATGTTGTATCTTTAATTTTCTTTCTTTATTTTTTAGATATTCCGGTTGGTCACGTTTTGAATTAATATATTTTAGAATACCAATCGTCTAATAAAGCCAGATAGATTAACTTTTATTTACTGGTATCTGTGACTATCGATACGTGCGCGCAGTCACGCACACCGTTTTAGTTTGTTTTGTCGTTAGTGGCATTCTGATGACTTTCCTCCAGTTGTAGCATCTTATGCGCCCTCTCCTGCCATATTAGGCTAGCAGCTAGCGTCTCTACCGGGAGACATGTTGATCATATGATTGGATCGCGCTGGCGAAATTATTAATTTTTCATTAATTGTTTCAAGCTCTCCTATAAACTGACTGATAAGACTATTTTATATAGGCAACTCAATTATTCTAAAGAAAATAAGGGTGTGTGAGAGCCTTGTTTGAACGTCTCGGACAATAATTTACGGCAGGTATCCAAATTCCAATGATCAAGGAATGTCTCCCAAACTAATGAACGCAGCTCGATCAAACTTTGTACACGTATTCATTATGACCTAACGGTGATGTTTAGCTCGGGAATTGCTTTTAATTCCGCCTTCAATCGTGAGTTATATGGCGATACAGGCTGAAATTCGCCGTGATCAAGGAATTTCTTCCAAACTACTGAACAACTTTGAAGGAAAGTTTTAATATACATTCATGATTATGATGTATAGCTAGCGAAATTTTTTTTCGATTTTTCCTTCGTTCGCGAGATATTTTCGCTTTCACCTTCATTCGTGATTTGACCAGCAATACGTGATTAAATTTGCAGTGAGCAAGAAATTTTTTCTAAACTAGTGAGCAGATTTGAACGAAACTTTGCGCGTGTATACCTAACCTCCCAACGGTGATGTTTAGCTAGTAACAATTTTTTCGATTTTGCCTTCGTTTGAGGGTAATACTGCTTCATGTATACGGCTCTTGGTCAACGTCAATTTAAAAATCGGATTCAGAAATGCAGGTCATTTCTCCGTATATCCGTATAACTCATGAACGAAGTCAAAATGGAAAAAATTGTCACCAGCTAAACATTACCGTTGTGAGGTTAGGTATTATACAAAGTTTCGATCAAATCTGTTCAGTAGTTTAGTAGAAAATTTTTGATCGTTGAGAATTTTAGCACATATTGCTGTTTAAATCACGAATGAATGTGAAATGAGAATAAAACTAGCGAACGCAGGCATAATCGAAAAAAATTTCCAGGAGCAAACATCAACGTTTGGTAGTTAGGAATGCATATTCAAAATTTTGTTCAAATCTGTTCTGTTGTTTGCAAAAAAATTCCTTGATCAATGCGAAATTCGGCCCGTATCGCCATATAACTCACGAATGAAGGCGAAATTCGTAACTGTTACGAGCTAAACATCACCGTAAGGTCTTAATGGAAACGTGTACCAAGTTTCATCGAGCTGCGTTCATTAGTTTGGGTGACGTTCTTTGATCATTGAATGTTGGAGGGGAGCGCAGCCGTGAGATCGGCCGCGAGTCTGGCCGTAAATTTACCCGAGACGTCGTAAATAGGTTAGGTTGAACTATATAAGGTTGACCATACTAAAATTCCGCCTTTCAGTTCAGTTTTCTTGTTGCGTCACGGAGATCGAGAAACGTGAACAAACCCGTCTTTCCCATGACAGATTTGTTGACCGGTTCGAGCGCATTTCGGTGATTGGTTAATGCCCGTGACATCACTGAGATCAGTGACGTCACATGCGAACAAAAAGCTCCATCAGCAAAAATGAACTTCTCATGGGTCAACCTTATACTAGTTCAACCATAGGTTAGGCAAGAAGAGGTTGGGCCGGATTCGGTGAGACTAAATACGTAACTGCATGCTTGTGAGCGAGCATGCTGAAGTAATGGCTGTAGTCCTACGACATTATTATCTTTAAGCAAGGCATCAGTTGTCTGGATTACGGTGTTCCAGCTTGGTACATGGCTGCTAGATCTATGGCTGAGTACAGCCATTGCATAATGAGGCTGGGCGTTGGCTCCAAGGCTTATTTAACCCTTTAGCGGGCAAGCATTGAAATATCAAGAAATTGAAATTTCAGAAGCCATTTCAATAAAGTAAGGAGTATTATACAAAATATTTAGTCGTATGAGTTTTTAAAAAAATTGTCATTTGAAGGTTTAAATCGCACTTCGAGAATTTATTAAATGCGGTCAGTACACGAAATTTTTCTTTATAATTAAAATTTACTTTATGTCGCGTTGCGCGAGTTAAACTATTGGAGTTTAGGGTTCACAGCGCTCTGCCTTCTCTCAGAACCATCCGTCTAGCTCTACTTCCGCCCGCTAGCGTGCAGCATGCGGCGTCTCATTTAGTGGTGACGAACTCTTGCGTTAGCATAAGATGTGTAGCTAATTCATTGCCTAGAAATCCAGTTCATTCATTGTCCATATCAAGTCTTTGTTTCACTGTGTCTTGTGTTAGTGGTTATTTGATCTTGATAAACCTGGTGTGACTGTGCCCATTGTGAAATGCAATAGTAGTTTTTTGGACTTTTCTTTGTTTTACTTATTGTCGGCCATTATCGTGTAACCGAATCTCCATCTTCTTTCTGTCCAGACGTGCGTAAACTTGATGTTGTTTCAATGTAACAGTCAATTGTTAGCGACCAATCGAACTGATGAATAGGATCGACGTGCCACATCTCGTAAGTGTAATGCTTGTCTTTGTTTTCTAAGCTACTGCTGTCACCATTGCATAATTTACACATAGATGAAATATTTAGATTGTTGCCAGCCTAAATTTAGGAATATTCTATTTCGCTAAATTCAGTACCTATCCATCGAATATGTATAACGAGTTTCTTGGTAATTGTTGACTTTCAGTGCGATTAAAAGTTCATGTTGTTTTTTCGAGTATTACATCTGCTCTATTATGTGCAGATTTACGGTCGAACTTTCCGGCAGTAAACCTGGTCTGAGTATCAAGAATGTCTTACTTGCTGTCCTTGGGTTCACCGTTACTTGGCTGAAAAGAGAAGATTTAGGTAGCCTCGAATTCAGTCCAAGACAGTAAATGAGATCTGCATCTTCTCCTCAACTCACGTCAGTTCTTTCACGCACTCGTAACCCAGAGCGGCCATGAGTTTAACGGCTTCGTCAAAACGTGTCCCGGTGCCCAGGCTTCCTGAGCTCGAAGATGTCGCCGACAGAGCATCTTGTGCATTCACTGCATTGCGTAACTTCATAGCCTCAGTCAAACCAGAGTCGTTTACCAATGAGGGAGAGGTTCGACAGTGTAGATCGACTCTTCTAGACCTAGCCAAAGACGCCGAACGCCATCACACTAAATTACTGGCGGCGCTCGAACGGGCTGGCAGCCGAGAGGAAGTATCCACGCTCCAGAGAGAGCTCAATCAGCTGATGTCCAAGCAGAGTGCCTTGCACGACGCTCTCCGCCTGAGAGGCGAAGACTTGGCTTCTCATCGTCGCCAGAGTATTGGTTCTGTGGCGGCATCAGTGAATCTCCTGAGTGAGAAGAGTCTCAAACATAGCAGCGTGCGCTCGAGCACGAAAGGCAGCGCTCGCACGAGCGCGAAAGGCAGCGCTCGCTCAAGCATGAAGTCCAGGTCAGGCTCTTACCTCACCACGAGCAAGCCTTCAAATGATATTGAGGAAGATCCAGAGGTAAAACTTGCCCGAATTGCTCTAGAAAGAGCAATCCTAGACGCCAGAGAGCGTAAGGTTAGGGCTGAGAGCCAGACAAGTCCGTCATTTCAAGGTTCTCTTCGATCAGCAGCTCACAGTCGCGTGAGCGATTGGGTCAACAATCACGCGTCGCACTCCTCTACGTCTGAACACAACTCTCAACGGCGAGAGCTAAATCCCGCAGCTGCATCTTTCACCCCAGCGAACCCTGCCCTGTCGGTTGCTGTACCGCCCGTATTTTGAGTCTCCCGCCTCTGCTGTTGGCGATGGAGCGTTGCGGTATTTTCTTCTCGCCGACCTGGGCGAGCTCCAAGTCAAGCTTATCGAGGGAGCCTCATTTGTTTCACCGTTGGTTAGACAACCTTCTCAAAAGGATGCGAAATCTTCAAGCCGACCCCATAGATTCCATAGAAATTCTGGCAAATCATTGCGTTGGGGAGCCTCGAAGATTAATCGAGACTCTCACCGCTGCAATCGGAGCCGATCCTGCCACCCAGTTCAAGGACATTTTGGCCGAACTTGAGCGGCGCTTCGGCTCGAGTTTTCACGTAGCGCTCAGCCTCTACAACCGTCTCGTTCAGTCCGAAGAAATAAAGGGTCGGGAGGAGGACGAGCCCGTGGCGCACAAGCTTAGACAGCTCAGCGACGACTGTTTGGTGGTTGCTCACGCCATCTCTTCTGTTCCTGATCTACAAGTCTTGAACCACGCCATTGGCCTGGAGCCCATAAGGAGGAAGCTCCCTACATTCGCGGCAAATGGGTGGAGAAGAGTGAAGGACAAGCATTCCCTGGAACACAACGCTCATCCGCAATTTTCAGTGTTCTGTACTTTCCTGCGCGATCTCTCCAACTCTATGTGCTAACGTTCTAACTCCTTCTTTGCCTATTACAAATACTCCTTCACACAAACCCAACACGAAGATCATCGGAGCGTATCACACCACCGTCGAGTCAGAAGGAAATTCCTGCGCCTTTCACGACTGCAACACTCACAGCACTGTGTCGTGCAAGGCCCTGATCAAGTTGGACTCTAAGAAGAAGAAAGATTTTATTCTACAGCACAAGCTTTGCTTTAGATGTCTGGGAGCCCACCTGGCCTCAAAATGCAGCCAAGAGGTTAAATGTGCGACGTGCGGATCGACCAACCATGCCACCGTCGCCCACCTGGATCGAGTGAATTTTAAAGACTCGGGTGATAGCATCAATGGCAAGAAGAAAGAGTCAGGAAATTCTTAGAATAACTCTTCCGAACGTCAACAGGCATCTGGCCCGGTCCTTTGCACAGAGATTTGCGAGAAGATCGGAGACGTAAGTTGCTGTAGGACACTCCTCTGCGATGTTAGGGATGGAAATACCGGACGTTGTTGCAGAGTATACGTCATAGTTGACGAGCAGAGCAACAGCTCATTTTGCTCACCTTCATTGCTCGACTTTCTGGAAGTCCGTGGTCCGCTGCACCAATACACCATTTCTACTCTAAATCGTCATAGGGTTTCGGTGACCGGAAGGCGAGCATCCGGCTTGATTATCAGAGGAGTCTCAGAGTCGAAAGAGTACATTCTCCCACCGCTGCTGGAAAACGATATGATTCCGGACGTTCGACATCTGATTGCTACTCCCGAGATGGTCTCTCTCAACCAGAAAATATCGCGCTACGCCAGCTATTTCTACCAGCTGGATTCAAATGCCGAAGTCTCCATTCTCCTGGGAAGAGACAGCGACGAGCTACTTCACAGCGTCACGGAGCAGCTTAGTTCGCCATACGTGCACCACACTCCACTAGGCTGGACCGTGGTAGGATCGATCTGCAACGATAACTCGCATCTAGAGAACGCTTCCGCAACTGCTATGAAGACTTGCGTGTCTTTCGATCACGAGCATTTCAGCGCAGTCCCAGGCTTCCTTCCAGTTGCGAAGGCCGATGTCTTCAGACGACATGCCGACGATGAGGTACCTGGTCTTTCCTCTGACGACGAGAAATTCCTGCACATCGTGAGCGACGTCAGCATCAACGAAGAGGGTTCCCGACAAGTGCCATTGCCTCTGAAGTCCACTGACAATCGCATGCCAAACAATCTGCTGCCAGTGCTGCGCCGACAGAAGTCAACTCTCTCGCGTTTGGCGCGTGAGCCGGAGAAGCTCAGCGATTGCATATCAGCCATGCAGAAAAACATTGATGCTCGTCATGTCGAGCAGCTTTCTTCGGCTGACTTGGGAAATTCTCCAAAGCTACTCTGGCACATCCCAGTCTTTCCGGTGGTGCAGCAACGCAAGTCGAAAGTCCGCTTGGTGTTCGACAGTGCCGCCGTGTTTCACGGAGTCAGCTTAAACTCCTGTCTCCTGTCCGGTCCAGATCTCAACAACGGCCTGCGCGAGGTAATGACAAGGTTTAGAGAAAAAAGGGTCGGTTTTGTTGCCGACGTGGAAGCAATGTTCCACTCGTCCCACGTCTTGCCCGAGCAGCGAGATCTAATGAGATTCTTCTGGTGGAAAAACAACGATCCCAAGCAAGGAATGGCAACCTATCGCGCTCGCGTACACATTTTCGGGAACACTTCGAGTCCGGCCGTCGCCACTTACTGTCTTCGTCGAGCTGCCGAAGGTTTTGCAACTGTTGAGACCGACCAGGCAATCGAGAAATATGCGGAGGCTGCCAAAGAATACATCACTTCCCACTTCTACTGCGACGATGGTTTAGGCACTGCTGCCACTCCGACAGAGGCTATCGGAATCCTGTCGACCGCTAGAAGGTTGTTGGCACGCTACAGGATCCGACTGCACAAGATCATGTCGAATTCTCCGGAAGTGTCCGCCGCCTTTCCTGTCAGCTAAAGGGCAACGTCGCAAGACGTAGAATTCACCCCGAGTCCCACTCACCGCACGCTAGGTGTGAGCTGGAATACTACCAGCGACTGCTTCGTTATCAAGATCGACATACCCGATCGACCGTATACGAAGCGCGGCATTCTCTCGGTCGTTAATTCTATGTACGATCCGATCGGCTTTGTTAGCCCAGTCACTCTGGGGGGCCGACTGATCCTTCGCCGAATCTTGTCTGAGTCAGACGAGCTCCCAGACTCCAGGCGTCTTGACTGGGATGACCCTCTCCCAGAGGAGCAGCGTCGCATCTACCCCCGCTGGCTAGCTAGTCTCGACGATCTCCGCCTACTCACAATCCCAAGATGCTTTCTGCCCCAAGATTTGGCGCATCCCGTGTCTCAAACTCTTCATGTTTTCGCCGACGCTTCCCAGGACGCCATCGGCTGCGCGTCTTACCTCCGCTCCACCGACAACTCGGGTGATGCTTACGTCGCCTTCGTGCGTGGGGAGAGTAGAGTGGCTCCGCGAGCAGCCACATCCATACCCAGACTCGAGCTGTGCGCAGCCGTCGAAGCGGTGATGTCAGCTCAGCAGATTCTACGAGAGCTGAAATCACCCCCACAAGACGTTTATTTTTACTCCGATAGTAAGGTTGTTCTCGCCTACATCAATAGCGAATCGGGTAGATTCACTCGCTACGTACAACGACGCTTGACAATCATCAAACAAGTCAGCCGCCCAGAGCAGTGGAGTTACGTCCCATCGACCTCCAACCCAGCCGACTTCGCTTCTCGGGCCACCGAACCCCGCGCGCTTCAACAGACATCGTGGTTACGTGGGCCTGAATTCCTGCGTCGTGAAATTTTCTCTCCTGACAGTCATTCACCTACGGACTTTTCGGAACTCGAACCGTTGCCGGAAACCGATGACTCGCCTGTATCGACAGCCTTGATAGCAAGTTCTTCAGACTCCGACGAAACCTTTTCTGCTCTCATCAGAAAACTGAGTTCTTGGCCCGCAGCGCTCAGAATCGCAACACGAGTCGTGTCACTCTGCCGAGGTCTCGTACGAAAGATGCGCCAGAAACAAGGTGAGGCCGTTCACAAAAATTTCACTTACATTGAGGCTAGAACCTTAGTTCATAACATCATAATTCGAGAGGCCCAGACGGTGGCCTTTCCTCAATTGATGTCAACGAACGAGCCGAAACTCGGTCCCTGGCACAGACTTGCTGCCCTCGCCCCCTTCCGTGACGAACAGGGACTGCTGCGTGTGGGCGGTCGCTTGGGCATGTCTGAGCTTCCTCGCGAGATCAAACATCCATTGCTGCTTCCTGCAGGCCATCCAATCATCACCTCCATACTTCGGCATCATCACAACTTGACAAAACATCAAGGAAGACACGTGACCCACTCAGCAGTGCGCGAGGCTGGCTATCACATAGAGAACGGCAGAAGGGCCATACAGAAGCTACTGCAGGGATGCGTTACCTGTAGGCGCCTCAGGGCCTCGTGCGAAGCCCCTCAAATGGCCAGCTTGCCACAAGACCGCGTTCTTGCCGCTCCGCCCTTCTCCGCTGTCGGCATCGACGTGTTCGGTCCTTGGATGATCAGCCACGGTCAGACGACCAGGAGGACTTCTTCACTCATGAAATGCTGGGCGGTCATTTTCACCTGCCTCGCGTCTCGAGGAGTTCACATAGAGTGCCTCCCATCTTTGGATACACCGACGTTCATAAATGCATTCAGAAGATTTGTTGCAATTCGTGGCGGTTGTAGTACAGTTCGCTCCGACAGGGACACAAACTTCATAGGAGCGAAGAATCAAGACGAAGGCATCAACGTCGAACAAGCGAGCAGGTGCCTCCTTGACCACGGTGCCACTTGGCTCTTGAACCCCCCTCACGCCTCCCACTTCGGAGGCGCTTGGGAGCGCAAGATAGGCCAGGTGTTTGGACGCGGCGATGTTGCACGCCACTCCGCGCTCAATTACCTACGACGAGCTTGACACCCTGCTGCAAGAAGCAGCGGCGATCGTCAACGCAACCCCACTCACTGAGGTGTCCTTCGACCCCAACGAGCCCTTCCCTATTACTCCTAGCATGCTCCTCACTCAAAAGTACGGCCTTTCCGAACATCAAACTGATCTAACGGACCACGATCTCATGGCCTATGGGAGCCGCAGATGGCGGAGAGTTCAAGCTCTCGCGAACTACTTCTGGAGCTCCTGGCACAAGATTTATCTTCACGAATTACAGCTTCGGAAGAAGTGGCAATGCGCCGCGAAAGGTCTCCAGTCTGGGGATATAGTTCTGATTAGAGAAAAACGTTGCAGGAGGTCTTCGTGGCCTGTCGGAATTGTTGAAGAAACTCGACGCAGTCACAATGGCGTGGTGAGATCCGTCACAGTGCGCCTCACTCAGGGTCCGAACGTCAAGGGGGCTCCTCGACGGTGGACACGTCCGTCTTCTGAGCTCGTTTTCCTTCAACGCCCTGCCTGTCCTCCCGCTACCTAATTTGTGTTGGCACGCCAACTTCAACGATGCTATCAGGTAGGCTGTTCCACATGTCGGTGACTCGAAGCGAGAAGAAATGTTGTCGGTTGGATGTGTTCCAACGCTGTTTTTTTAGTTTATAGCCGTGGCCCCTGGTGTTGGTTCTTGTTTCAAATTCTAGTAATCCTTCTGGGACCTTGTATAAGTCATGAGTATACTTGTATACTTCAATGAGGTCCCCACGCAGACGTCGATAACTGAGGCTTGGAAGCTTCATAATCTTTTAATCTTTCCTCATAGGACTTGCCTTTCAAGCCCGGAACTATTCTTGTTGCGCGTCTTTGAACACTCTCTACTAAATTTATAAGTACGTTAGCTTTGCCCTCATCAGAGGATATCTTTCGCTGATCTACTTTCAAATCAGAAATACCGTCCTTCATCTTGCACTTCGAGCTGGCATACAAAGAGAAGGCTTTCGGGTTCTTTTTTGCATTTTTAGCAATACTTTTTTCGAGGGTTTTTGCTGTGGTGCGACAGCTTTCTTTAGCTTGATTTCGAGCTCTTGCGTATAGGTTATAGTCAGCATCGCTGCGAGTCTGATAAAGACTAGATAAAGCTATGGAAAAATATATGTTCAGATTTGAAATGCCTAGCACCATATCGAACCCGGTGGAAGTCTAGTAGCTACTTGAAACTATCGTCAGTCATGAAAAGATCCGGTCAAATGAAACGATATTAGATCTTCTGTGAACAAGGCACGAAAAGGAAAAGAATCGGCGACAGGCCGCACCAGGCCTACACTTCAGCGCAAAGATCAATATGTTATGTTATGGTTGTTCTAGTATAAGGTTGACCCATGAGAAGCTCATTTTCGCAGATGAAGCTTTTTGTTCGCATGTGACGACAGTGACGTCACTGATCTAAGTGACGTCACGAGCATTAACCAACCACCGAAATGCGTTCAAACCAGTCAACCAATCCGTCATGGGAATGGCAGGTTTGTTTACGTTTCTCGATCTCAGTGACGCAACAAGAAAGCTAAACTGAGAGACGGAAGTCCTCGTGGGTCAACCTTATGTAGTTCAACCATGGGAATTCCTAATCCATATCGCATTTATTACCTTATTAGAGATTGGTGTATTTATTTTTTCAGTCCATCGGAATCCTTTCCAACATTCTTTCCGCACGGCGGTCTGTTGCAGGACTAGCGGGTGATTTGAATTTAAATTTCTGCTGGAGCCTGGTGAGTAGGCTACTGAGTAGTGGCTTCTTTACTTCCAACCCCACAACAACACAAATTTCAACTCAGGTGAAAGATTGATTCTAATAAAGAGCTGCATTATTCCTGCATATGTACTAGGGAGTAGGGCCGCTTACTGGCTTCGGCCGCGCCAGGCTGCCGGGGCCGGCCTGGCGGCCTTCAAAGTTCAAAAGAAAAGATCTAGCCTCTAGGTATTTTATTAACAATACTACTGAATCACAAATTTCTGGCAACTTGGCAAGATAAAAAATAAACTGAGGTTGAGACTGCTTCCTGCCAGTTCTGGGTTTATATTTTATGTGTAAATCCATGGTAATTAAACTCTTCAGTTCCTAGTACTGACTACTGAGTCAAGTCAGTCAACTACTGAGTACTGACCAATATTATATCTTTGATTTTAAATGGCTTTTCTTTGAAGTTTGAGGATAGGCAAGCTGCAAGCCATGGTGCAGAAAGTAGGTGAATTATGAATATTGCAATTTGCAAGGTCTTTGGCATTTGGCAACACATCAGCAGCAAAATTTATTCCTTCAGAAAATCTTGCTGGAACATTTGAATTGAAATTATTGCATTTCAGATATTTGCCACTCTTTGACCAACTATTTAGAAAATAGTTGAAAATATGAAAGACTGCAAGCACTCACACTCTCACAAGTCAAAGTAAGGTTTCCAATATCATGCATAGTCATAGTCATAGTGGCAAAGCAGGGAGTTTTTTTAGACTCTCATTCAAGTTCATTGTTGAGTCCCAAAGTTAAAAAAATGAGTCATAGTCATTTTAAAAAAACCACATTTTCTTAACAGACAAGAAAGAAAAACATTTACTCTTACGTAAAATATAAGTTATGTAAAATGTTATGTAATCATTATCATTGTGATGTTATGTAAGAGTAAATGTTTTTCTCTTTTGTCTGTTGAGAAAACGTGTTTTTTTTACTTTTTTTATTTATTTTATTTTGGTATATTTAGCTTTGTAAAAACCAGAAAAATGTGGGTTTTAAAAATATTTTTTTTTATATTTACTTAGGTATTTTCTACTTTTTTGTTAGCAATTTTAGCAATTGAAATCAATTTCCAGGGTTGCAACTCACTTGCAAGTGTGGATGTTTGAGAAAAGACTCAATTCCCAACCGTCACTTTTTCATGTTTTTTTTATTTTTTTTTCTAAATTTTTTTTTAATTATTACATTATTTTTGATGATCAAATCTTAAATTGTTAGGCAGCATAAGCATGCATGCCAAATTTAAAGTTTCTACTTTCTAGGATGTTCAGAAAAGCTCTAAATTAAGGTCTGAATTTTTGATGACAGATAGACATGAAACGAAGTCAAGAAAAACGTGGTAAAAACAAAATAAACCTCCCCTTATTAGGTACTCATTTAACAATAGTCTAGTGATGGTGTAGAGAACCAGCCTGTATTAATTTTATTATATTAATTTCCATTTATTAATTTAAAAGTAACATTAGAATGTTACTAAATGTCTAAATCATAATATGTAATTATGCCAGTTGTAATGAACCCAGAACCAAACCATAGTGGAACAAGGCCAGAAGCTATTTAATTTTTAATTCTTTGATCTAGTTCAGAATTATATTCAATATCTATAGGTGATAATTCAAGTATCCATGATACTTTACTCATCTACTCATAAGACCCATAAAGGAAGATTTTAAAACTTGCTTTACTGAACTGTAGTCTTTTTTTCTCTGTTATGCTTCATTTGTCATATCTATTTTCATTTAATATACCGGTACCTATAATAGTAATACATCAAATTAGTCTGATGCAGTGAAACTACTAACAATACGGTAATGTAATTATTTAGAAAGTGAAAGTATAAGATTTATTTTGTGGCTGAGGTGTCAACAAAGTGTGGCAGGGCTCTCATTATCAGTATAATCCTTTTCCTTCATTATCAAGGATTTCATCATATAGGAGCAAATTATATCTATGAATTGTTAGTTATGAAGGTGTGACATGTGCTGAAATGATGCACTGTGTAGTGTGTATACATGAATTAATTGATTGATCAAGAGTCCAGTGAGCACAATCTACATTATAAAATTCCACAAAATCATGCATCTTTATGAATGCATCCATTTATGAATAGGTAGCTTTTATTAGCTACTGTGCAATTGTCTAAAGAAACTATAGATTGATACTAAGGAATATTTTACTTGACATTTTACTTCAAATAGAGTATTTATTTTTGTGTTTAACTATACATATTGTTATTTTGCAGCTTAAAAGAACAAGATGTCTCGCAGCAGTAAGCAGGCTAGTGCTGAGCTCCTGGAAGATAGGGAGAGCTGGATCAGGGTGTTCAATATGTGCTATAACTGTGATTGTACTATGAAGCAAGTTGAGGATCTTGATAAAGGATTTGTCTTCTCCATTTACCTACAATTTGCCAAATTTACATTGAGGGCTTCTCTGGACAAGATGAAACAGGTCAGTTATCAATTTGCTGATGGTTTTCTGTGAAATTCATTTCGAAAAGTGCACTCAATTTAGCAATGAATTAAGTAGGTAGGTAATTTAAGTTCCTTTGTGTTTTTATGTGACATACATAGGACATTTGCTGGAACTTGTTGGTTTAAATAGTTGTGAATAGTTATTCCATTTCTTGTATAAGGAAATCTGAATAAATAAAAAATTAGGAAGCAGGTCTAAAAAGTCAGGATATATTCACTAGATATATTTACCACCTGTTAGGACTTTACTTCTAAAAATACTTAATACTTTACTTAATATATTTACTTCTGTCAAATTAATGCCTCCCAGCAATAAGGCAATAGAAGCTGCTATTTTTGGCTGCAATTTTTAGCTATATAGGGTCACCTACCTGCTAAAGTTTTGAGTAGGTATAACTCATAATATCATCTTCCCATAGCATTGATGTTCTTCATGAAACTGGAATTCTTTTTTAGCGCATTTTCTCATTTATGGAAAAAATGCACTATTGTGCTCCCTATGTCCATCTGTCCGTCCGTGACTTAACATTGTCATCAACGAGAAAATGTGCTCTCTGTCACTCACTGCAGTGAGTACTGAGTTATGTTTTTGATTTTCAGATGGGCCCAATGTGTCCAGAAGATTGCCATACTTACCCTGAAGCTTACGAAAAAGCCATCCTTGCTCCAAGACTTGCCAAGCTCCTGGCCTGGTTCTTCAACAAAAGATATAAAGATAACACGTTTGGCTTCGAAGATTTGTTTGCCGTAGGTAAGTTCAGTTGCAGATTTGTTGTAGGCAAGTTCAGTTGCAGATTTGTCGTAGGTAAGTTCAGTTACAGATTTGTCATAGGTAAGTTCAGTTACAGATTTGTCATAGGTAAGTTCAGTTACAGATTTGTTGTAGGTAAGTTCAGTTACAGATTTGTCATAGACAAGTTCAGTTACAGATTTGTCATAGGTAAGTTCAGTTACAGATTTGTTGTAGGTAAGTTCAGTTACAGATTTGTCATAGGTAAGTTCAGTTACAGATTTGTCATAGGTAAGTTCAGTTGCAGATTTGTCGTAGGTAAGTTCAGTTACAGATTTGTCATAGGTAAGTTCAGTTGCAGATTTGTTGTAGGTAAGTTCAGTTACAGATTTGTCATAGGGAAGTTCAGTTACAGATTTGATGTACCAGTAAGTTCAGTTACAGAGTTGTCGTTGGTAAGTTCAGTTACAGATTTGTTGTAGGTAAGTTCAGTTGCAGATTTGTCGTAGGGAAGTTCAGTTACAGATTTGCTGCTTTTTCAGCACTCCATGTGGGATCAAGTTTTGTTTATATGAATTTAATGCATTTCCTGTTAGTGTAGCTTTTTGGAAAACACTTTATTTAATTTGCTGGATACATACTGGATTGAATATTGTGTTTCCCTGACTCCATTTTGATAGGGTGCATGGTGACATAATTATGGGTTACGGCCTAATTTCCATTTTTGTCCTGATGTTTCAGATAAAAGCCGAACTCGTCGTTTCTTCAATTATATGGTTAATGCAATTCATGAATTATCTGAATTTGATGAAGCAACAGAGAAAATTCGTTTGGAGGTATGCCATAACTTAAGATGGAGTTATATTAATTTTACTTCCAGTTTCTGGTTTATTTTAAATTGCGCTCAAATTAAATTTGTCATGTGGCTTCCTCACTAACACTGAAAATATTAATATAACATTGATTTAATATGCAACTCAATTTTTGTAATATATGAAGAGTAATGTAGTGATAGTTTCTTCCAGAGCTTCCACAAATAAATTGAATTTATTTAAAATACTTAATAGAGTGAGGTAAATTGAATGAAATGATGCATCTTCCAGCTACAACATACAATATTTAACACAGTAACTGATTTGTATAAAATTAGTCATTCTGTTAAATTTCCTTGTAAATCTGATTCATGAAATCTGTTTGTTTCTATGCCATTCCATCGATTTTTGACAAGATTTGTTATTGTAATAGAATTTTGAGGGCTTGTAAATTTGACCGATTATAACTCACATCCGTCTTTTTATTAGGTACTTCAACACTTTATCCATTACGAAATTAAAATCTTTCAGAATTTGAAGCCATGTAAAATTTTTAACACCTGACAGCTTAGTCAAGCCTACTGTTGATCTCTGTTGTGGGAATGAATTTGTTTAGCCTTAGCTCTATCCCTTATACAAGATATTGTTCTGAAAATTTTTCCATGCTTGTTATAAACTTTGATTGTTATAAACTTTTATCCAATTAGTGTAATCACTCGTTTTCTAATTGTTTGGAAGTTGGACTTTTGATTTTGATTGTTTTATCCTTCTTGAATGTGGATTATTTATTTTTCTTATCGTTACATTGAAATGCCCATTTGCATTTCGACAATCTGTCATGCATTTTTAGGTGCAACTGTGAATTTTCACATCCATTTAAGTATTTCTAGATTAAATAATTTATAAAATTCAAGGATAATGGTTAAAGAAGATTATAAAAAATAAATGTAACTTATGTTTGAAGAAGAGTTGAGTTGATTTTGCAACTCATCAGCTCGTACACACCTCTGTGTTCATCTCCAGAATTGCCAGGACTTGAAATTCTTAGTAGAACTAAACTCATCTTTGAAATTTTTCTCTCAAACTTTCAGGCATTTCAACGAAAAGAAGACATGGCAAGGATTGAGAGTGAGCACAGTCGACTCTTGGCAAGCCTTCAACAGCTGAAGGAACAGCAGAAAGAGATGCATAAAATGCAGGAGCAAGTGAGTGCTCCATCAGATTTATGGACCTTTTACCACTTGTAATAATTAGCTATGAGAATTTTCACCTAAATTTTGCTGTAGCAAGTTCACACGATGTACTTTTACAACTACAATTTAAGGGTTTTACCATTGTTGGCTCCAGTGCAATCAGTTCATGTCGAATGTCATTGTTCAATGCTGGATTATTCTTCCATCTTGGATGAGTGTTTATTAATGGAGCTACCTATGTAGCTTTTTCATATGTATATTTATTATATATTATGATTGAATTACGTATATTTATATGAATTAGGAAATCCATGCCTAAGCTGCTGAGACTACAGATTGCTCTCACAACTCTTGACATGAGGTTAAGTAAAAGTTTTTTGTATTTTGTTACTGATTATACAGGGAATTTTATTGTGATCATAATTGTGATTACCATCAATAATTATGATGACTTGATTGCACAAATCCCAAATTAACTACAAAATTACTGATGAATAATTCTCAAGAAAATTAAGCATTTCAAGGACCCATCCCTAGATCAGTCAACCCATATCACAATGTGTTAACAATTTGAGCAACAGAACTGAAAAATAAGATTTGAGAACCTAAATTGTCAAACGGCAATCACCAATTGTTTGAAAAAGATACCTTTATTATATATGTAATTATATAACTGTAAATATTATATATACTGAGGTATATATTTAGTATAATAGCCCCGCAACCAACTATAGAAATTTTATCAAACAATATACCTACCGGTATCTCTTAACTATTGAGTGGAAGTAAATTTTAAATTAAACAAGTTTTTACCATATAAATTGTTTGACTTGTTCATATACAGGGAAATGAGCTGAACGAGAAGCTGATGCAGAGCCTGCAGAACAAAGGAGTAGTGAAGGAGCAACTCAAAGCAGAATTGGAAGCCAAGAAGAAAGAGATCGCTGAGCAGGCTGAGACAGCTCGAGCCCTTACTGGAGAGTGCGATCATGTGAGTTACATAGAGGCAATCTTGCAGCTACATGAAAATAAACTCTCATTTATGTGACTTCTGTTCATTCAGTATATTTAAACCACCAATAAAACTAATACAGTCACAGCTATTCTGCTACGATTATGCAGTTGTGTTGACGGTTTAGTTTTTTATGATGTGCCGTAAATACCTCAACAGAGACAGTTTATAAGCCAATGATGTTTTCCTGCTTAAGTGCTATGATTTTATGTTCAGCTTGTGTCACGTTTGTGATGTCATTTTTCACTGAAATCATTATTTTATTTATTTTTTTTATCCCAAAAAGTACCTAGCAGTTCCATGGAATATTATTTGGCGTTTCTCTTGAAGATGCAAACAAAGGCCTGTAGAACAATTGAGTTTGTCTTGGAAATAATGCAATTGAATTGACCAAAATAGTGAAAAGATTCATATAAAACTAGGTAATAATGATAGCATATACTGTCCTAATGAGGATCAGGCCGATTAATAAAATTCATGTAATAAATATCTCATGACTGAATTATGATGAGCAACAATAAACAATAATTAATGTTACAGTTGGCAGAGACGATCCAGGAGCTGGAAGGTTGCGTCGTGACGCAGGCGGAGCTTGACGACCTCCAGCAGCGTGACCACAATATTGCCACAGCCAACACCGACAACAGCAACAAGGACAAGCAGGTTATTGTGATGAGCAGGTTATTGTTGCCACTTGTGATGAGCAGGTTATTGTTCCCACTCGTGATGAGCAGGTCATTGTTGCCACTGTCGTGATGAGCAGGTTATTGTTGCCACTGTCGTGATGAGCAGGTTATTGTTGCCACTGTCGTGATGAGCAGGTTATTGTTGCCACTGTTGTGATGAGCAGGTCATTGTTGCCACTTGTGATGAGCAGGTTATTGTTGCCACTGTTGTGATGAGCAGGTCATTGTTGCCACTGTTGTGATGAGAAGGTCATTGTTGCCACTGTTGTGATGAGCAGGTTATTGTTCCCACTGTTGTGATGAGCAGGTCATTGTTGCCACTGTCGTGATGAGCAGGTCATTATTGTTCTTGTAGTATGTAGTAAGGCAATGCCGCATATCACTTACAAGGCCTTGTATAACAAAAACTCAAAAGTTGATTATTATTCTGGCCGCTACGTGTGACAGAACTTTCATGTGTTGTATTCTTTGTTGTGTGGCATTATATCATAGTTATGTAAAGTGCACTTAGTAATCTAGCTAATGTTGTTATCTATTACCGGATACGAATAAGTTGCACGAGTTTCAAGGTATGTGATTGAATATAATGTTTCAGCTGGAGGCCCTAGAAAGTCTTCACAGTGAAACAGAAAGAAAAGTGGCCCTCCTGAAGGACAAGATCTTGCCGCTGGATCAAGATCTGAGTCACCAACTTCAGGAGTTGTGAGTAGCATGTGTGATATTGAATAATCCCGTCACGACACAAGTTCTAAAGCCACTGAAATAAGATAATTTACATTTCAGTATATTATATTTATATACTGAAATAAGCCTCCACCAGATATATTTCATAATATAATGTAGCTCTCCCGTCTTCACTGTTTTTGCTTACTTGCCATGTAACAAATATAAATTCTCGGAACCTGGTTAACCCAATGTGTAATTTTTGAACCAATCAATTTAATTCCATTTAAATCAGATTGCGTGACTCAAACCAGTAGCTTTGGAGGAATTGCTTAGACAACTAACACGGGATGAAACCTCGACCGTTCATCGTTTTATAAAAGTGTCTTTTGAAAGCTTTTGTGATATGAAAAACCTTTCAGTGCATTACTGATATGAAGCTCAAAATATTTTTTTGAATCGAGTCCAACATTCCAATTTTACTTAATCTTTGAAGCTTTATATGTGTTTGTGAAGTAACAATTTCATTATTCGTAACCTCATGAGTGAGCCTCTTGACCTATCTATGTTAGGGAGCGCGCATGGTGCGAAATCCGCTCCCAAACGCCCTCAATAACCCCCAGAGTAATACTCCTTGGAATGTCTAAATGATGCAACTGTTTTCTCTGCGGTGTAGTCCTTGTGCAACCAGAAATAAATTCGTAGTTTCTGGTCGCAATGAACAGAGCTTGTCGTCCCTGACTGTAGGTCCCATTTTAAAGGACCTTGCTCTGCTCCTCTATGCATTGTTGACCTCAGTCCTGCAACCAAATTAATAAGTCATATTGTACAAATAGTGACACAATAACCAATCACCAATCAATAACCAATCGTCTGGTCACAAGTAGTGACCAGACGTAGAGCTGGTACGCCATTTTGACGGGCCAAACTTGATCAGGATGACCCACGCACGTTCAAAAATTACATCACTACTTGAACAAGAACCCATGTCTTTTTTCTGAGTGCGAGAGATTAATCTCTTTGTCTAGGCATCTTCATAGATATTTCTGTTGTGTATACCATAATGCTTTTCAGGAAAGTTTAACAATGGTTACCATAAAATTCAGTGTCGAATTCAAGAGGGATTTTAAATGACTAAAAAAACACATAGCATATTGGAAAGACTTGAATAACCTATCTCATTCTAGATATGAAGACATCATGATCCCAAAACCAATCTCAGTCTAGAGAGGATAACATCTCAACCAATCACAGCTGGAAAAAAACGTATCCGCCCAAATATGAAAATAAATTTACGCACCATCCTAGAATTTCAGCCTGATAAAGATGCTGTTTTTTTTTGGCCATGGAATTTGAGCCTGATCGCGATACTGTTTTTTGTCCACTATGGAACTTTTTGATGCATTACAGAGCTGAGCTGCTGAAGACAGAGGACCTCTGCAACCGTCAGAGTCGCGCCCAGAGCGCGTCTGAAGAGCTCGACCACCGCAACTCTGTGCTGCGCGAAAAGCTTGCTGCTCTGGACGAGCAACGCAGCTCTAATGCTGAAAACTGGAACAGGAAAATGAATGCAAGTCTTGCCTTTAATTCGGAGTACTTGAACTTCTATAGTTTTTTTTCACGCAATAGTTAGCTACGCAGATACTTTATCCATGCAAAACACCGCAGCAAAAATTAGAAATTTTGGCTCTGTTCAAAATGTCTATTCTATATATTCATCCAAAGCAATCACTTATAGCGGATTGTTTTTCTAATAAATCATAAAAGTAAACTAGGGGCAAAGTCACTGACTCAGAATCACTAATACTATTAATATTGAGAAAATTCTCTGCTAGCTAAATTAAATTAGGCTAGAATATGATAGAACAGAATATAGTATAAACAAAGCATTATATATGCAACCAATGCCAGTATTAATTAAGTGCGTTATAGTCTGAAGCTCTTGTTCTCAGGGCTTCCAGGCTGACATGCAGGCAGCGCGCCAGATGCTGGACGAGCTGGACCAGGCGGACAAAGTGGGTAAAATATGCTTAATTACTTTAGTGGTCGCATTTTTACTAGCCCTTCAGCTATTAGCTATCTCGCACCGAAAGTTAAGATGTACCGGTACATCGCCAACGAGGTTGGAAGTCTCAAACATTAAAACCTTTCTCCAATCAAAGATAACAGATTTCCATAACTGACATAACCCACAAAGGGCGGAAGGTCTCAATTGTCCAGCCCGCTGAAGCTGACGCGAAAGAAGGGCATCTCGAAGAGACGAAGTGACAAGGAGGGACAGGTGACAAAGAGAGACAGGTGTCAAGGAGGGACAGGTGACAAAGAGAGACAGGTGACAAGGAGGGACAAGTGACGAGGAGGGATAGGTGACAAGGAGGGACAGGTGACAAGGAGGGACAAGTGACAAGGAGGGACANGTAAGGAATCCTACCTACATAATAACTTAATGTAAGGAATCCTACCTACATAATAACTTAACCCCACAACTCAGACCTGCAGTCAGACACCGCGAGCTCAGCGGTGGGGCGCTCAGGAACAATCCCCATAGGAGCGCGAAATCCCATAGGACTTCTGACGAGCACAGACACCCGTTAGGAGTCCCCCCTGGGTAGTAGGTAATACAACAGTTTACTGCTACCATTAATGGCTCTGGTGCAATACAACCATTTTACCGAGTCAAATAACGATTCACAGGAGAGCCATTTTGCACGAATTCATGGTACGAGCCATTTTTATCTACTCGAAGTTAATTGTTGGCCAAGGTCATCTATTTTCTTATGGAGATCAATGTAAACTATATTTGTGCTCAATAATTTTGTTCCATTGATTTGAAGATGCAGTAAGGTTTCTCTCATTAACTGCACTATTCTTACGGTCTGGACATGTGAAGGGAGGCACGAAGAATTAATCTCATTATTTAATCCGGTTCTCTCCTTAATCCTGTGCCACTCTTTTAATTCCTGTGTTATTTTCATTTCCATTCACAGCCTTGCAAGTTAATTCATTCTTTTGCTGCCTTCTTTCATTTTTTCAAATTAGTGTATATATTTTTCATCAATTTTCACTAGATCGCAATGAATTCGCAGTTAATTTCCATCGTATTTCACTAAAAAGAATTGTTTATCGCAGCTCATTTATATCATGCATTACTATAGAAAATTGTTTATCGCAGCTCATTTCTATCATGCATCACTATAGAAAATTATTTATCGCAGCTCAGTTCTATCATATATCACTATAGAGAATTGTTTATCGCAGCTCATTTCTATCATATATCACTGCCAATAGAATTGTTTATCGCAGCTCATTTCTATCATATTAAAGAATTTTTATCGCAGCTCATTTTAATAAGTGAAGTTGTTTGCAGTGTGATGAAGCCAAGGAGGTGGCGCTGAAGGAACAGCTGCAGGCGGCAGACAGGGAGCTCGACGCCCTGCAGAAGGAGGCCGTCCAAGTGGAGGAGTTCTTCAAGAGCCGTATCGCGCAGCACATCGAAGCTGTAAGCCTCACTCTATCTTGTTACTTGCGGAAACAACGATTGAGATTGTCGCGCCTGAATTTGACTTTATTCAAAATCTTGCTGTTTAAAAGTCACCCGATTGATATTTTATTATTTCATCAATTTTATATACTAAGTGTGATTTCTAAGTGCAACTTCTGTTTGCAGCTGAAGGACTACAACAGCTGGAAGAAGCAGGCTTTCAATGAGTTCATCATGAAGTTGAATGAACATGTTCTAGATGACTGAGGCAGCATTTACACACTGCGAACATTATTTCTTTTTTACATCATCTCCAGTAAGCAACTGACACTTAATTTGCTGCTTTACGGTGAAGTTACTTTAGTGTTTGGTATCAAGCGGAAGTTTCAAATAAATACTAATAAAAAATGGATAAACGAATTTTTACTTCCATTTTTTTGTGTCAGATTAAGTAAGTATATACCTTAACGCATGAGGACATGAACAAGAGTATATACCGATCCTTGGACCCTCAGGAGCAATGGTCATTGGCTGACTCGGCAGGGATATGTACAGCTCCCTTAATGAAGGCCGAGCTCAGCATTCCCGAGTCTTTGAATGGGTCCTATTTTGGGACATGCTTGCCCTCACAAGTCAATCGACCACACGATAACTCTGTCTCGATATTTAGGAACTTCTGATAGATTTGAAATTTCTTCCATGAAACTTCTGATAGGAATAGTTTCTTTTCAGGTGTCACGAGACACCTCCAGAGACGGAAATCGGGCTACAACAAATTAAAGATCCTCAAAAACCACTGATTAAGTGAAAGCAAATAAAGGAATGGCCGGTGGCGGGGAGTAACGGTTCTCCTCTGAACTTAGTGTCAGTAATTCTTTTTTTTTTTTTTTTTTTTTTGAGAAATATCACTCTTATGAGGTGTCTCCAAAATAAAGCTCTGGATTGATCGGTCAAAATAAGGTCAGACAAGCACGCGGCACAATTGAGTTCAGCTACAATTTTGTGTCATACCTACATTTCTTTCAAGGTATTTAAACTGTTGAACTATGAATTTATAGATATAGGAGTGAATTGCGTTTTTAATATCTTCTAATTTATTCATAGTCTATGAAATCGAATTATTAGTCCATGCTTGAGTTGGAAATAAACTTACGACTTCATAATTTATTTAAACTTCAATTAATAAATTACAAAGAAATTTCATCAAACAATTTCGAAACGGATTCAACTTATTCCAGAACTTCTATACCTCTCTTCGGCTAAGAATGACGAAATCATCAATCTATGGTTGTCAACATACGTACGATACGTGTAATCGTAACTTGCCTATTCCCATTGTGATACCTACCACCTGAGAACACTTGAGAATGCGCATATGATCAATTATCTACAACGAGGAATTGGGTAAAGCAGTTCATGCTTGCTTCTTCTTTGGTTTCACGAGGTTGTAGAAAATGACAGCCCCCAGCACGGCGAAGGTTGCAATTGATGTCTGAAAAAAAGTGACGCTATCAGATAATATCGTCTCCAATTCTTTCAAAATAATAAAATTAATACTTAGTTACTATGGTTAAAAAGCTCAACAAAATTTTTTACTTCACATTGCTATTTTTCTATCTTTTAATTTTCCACGAGAATAAATAGCCAAGCGGCGAAAATAAATTCATAAATAATAAAATTATGTAAATTCGGGAGTCGTATAATTCATTTATCGTAAACAATTCAGATGCACAATCTTGTGTAGATAAAATAATATGTTTCTGTAAATAGTCTAAAAATTTATTTTTTTAAAACGACCGCACTGAATATTCAGCAGAGGAGTAATGAACACAACATTTGTTAGCAGGACCATTAGCAATGAGGCATCCTTAATTATACACAAGGTGCGGCAGGCTAGCACGCAGGAGCCGCCGAGAATGAAAAAGTTTCAGCATCTTAGATACGGAGCGAGAAGTGGGACACGTGAGCAGCATTTAAAAGGAGCCATACAGACAGCATACACGAGACGTCAGCCATCCGCATGAACCAGAATGATATTGGATGATGTCTGGTCTACATAACAGCTTGGCTGTTTGTCCAAGGATCCATTGAGCGTCGCTAATAATAAAAGTAAGTGAGGGCCTTTTAATTGGTTATAGTCATTAGACATGGAGTTAACCACACAGGCAACAGTCAGATGGCACAAGAAGTGCAAGTTTGAATAGGTGATATCTACAAAGACACGTACAGCAATAAAAATTATTCATTCTTTTTTTTCGCTTAGCTTTCACCTAATGAAACTTGCGAGTGTAAAGTAGATTTTTATCAATTCATATGCATCACGGACAAATCAGGTCAACATGCTTGAGCTCTTAAATTACTCAAGGCATTATGAAGTTGGGATTCTTCCTCAGAAAAAATCTCGTGTTCAAATCTAAGAGATGGTGGAAAGATGATGCAACAGATGAAGCAAAATCGTGACTGAAGGAATGATCCATTTTTCGGTCACTGTGCCGAAGCCAATGTTTGGAAACTAATTTCTATAGGTGCTCTAAATAAGTTATGAGAATACATTGTTAGCATCATGAAAGACACACGTTCTCCACATATATTTTTTTTACTCGCAATATTTTGCACCATCGCTCCCTTCAACCAAAATCTTTACAATCCACTCCTCACACGTTCATATACCCCTTCATTTCAATCACCTTCCCTTATTTGGAATCACCTCCATCATTGAACGTTGTTCTCTCACCTACGCTTTTGGATCCACTATCAAGCGCTCCACTGTATCATTCACACTCAAAAACACACGAAACGTTCATCCTCACACTTATCCTCGCTGTATGGATGTTTATCTACACCCAGCAATCCTGCCCAACATCAAACATCAAGTCCCCACTTCCGTTCACAGCCCTCGCACATTCATTCATAGGGAAGATAAAATGCAGTTGAAATGCCTATGAATAAAAAAATACATGATGTCCGTCCCATTTTAGCTGTCATAATAAATCCAAAAATGTTCTAAAGTATCATCAAATTCAACTGTATTCACATAATAAAATATTTAAATAGGAAAATCATTTCTGCTTAAGAAATTTTTCATTTTTTTTTCATTCAGAGAAGCAATGAAAAATCAATTTTATACAATAAGACAATTTTAAATGGTAATTTTTTTGACTAATATTATAAATACCTAGTTACAAATGAATGCCTAATTTTTCCCATCCAATCACAAGCCAGAAATGCTCCTTGAGAGATCAGATAGTACAAAAATAGAAATATGCTGTCAAAATGTACAATAAACCTATATAACTCACATTGAGAACCTAAATGATTTGCTCTTTTCAAAGTATGAAAAATAAAGACCAAACTTTCAATCAGCAATTGAGCAAACCTACAACTTCACTGAAAATATAAAACCAAATGCCTAGTACAATCTCCTGTGACATATCATACAAGGGATCTGACATTAACTAATGTAATTAATCAGCAACATGAAGCCAGTTGCAACCAATGTTATCTGAATATTTTCTCATGGTGAGTCTTCCCAAATTATGAATTTCACAGAAATGAATAATTTGTTAATGAATTTTGTGGTCACAGTAATTAATGCATGGAACCAGAGATTACCAGAAAAACATTGGAAAATAATTAATCATACTTGACTGTCAGTTCTCATCCAAGCTGATAAGCAAATTGAAATTGAAAAATTACAAAAATACCTATATTTTATTGTGAAAAAATTCCTCTGGAAATCCCTTGGTCAATAGAAACATAAACCAGCCATTATGAGCAAAATCCTATGCTGTAGGAATGCTGGTTCAAGTTTAGCAAATGTTTGGTATTCATGTCAATAAATGAGCATGAAAATTAAAGTGCATGCATTAGCTGGAGAATAATTTGAAATAGCATGAGATTAAACTTCTTTTTAACAAGATTGGGAATATCCTTTTCTTCACAGTCCTATATTCACTGCTAATACATTCTTTGTATTCTGAACTAGCAAAGTATTTAACTTACAAAGCTTTTGGGGAAAATGATACAATACAGTAGCAGTTTTACAAACGTTGACGGCATTTTCATGTAGCAAACAGTTGAACAGTCACCTATCTTTACCATGTCCACAAAATTTCATTATTTCCTGTATAATTTTTCATGCTAACAAGTCAATCATTGACGTGGTATTTGAATTGTGTGATCATTTCCTGCCTTGTGCAAGACAGCAGGCAACATTCATGTGATGCCTACAAAATTTTGAATATTAGATGAATATTTATTAACAATCTGCTACCTAAAGAGGATATGAAAAATATAGTGCATAGTAGCAATGGATTTCAAAGATTTGTACTAGCTTCATGTAGCACAAATCACCAGTAAAATTACATTATAATGGAAATTTAATAGTCACCAATTTTCAAACCAAATTAATAGAATATCAACATTTTATTACAGAATATTTAAGTTGTAATTTGTCATAAACACTTACAATAATGACCACAGACTTTACAAGTCTCAGAACTGTAGCCTGCAATACTGTCTTTTCACTACATGAAGCTGTGATTTCACTTACATTTTTCCGCCCAGTGATGGTGGTAGAATTGAAGTATTTGCTGAGTCCAGTGAACTCAGAGGCTTCTTTCCCAGCCATGACTAATTCTTCTCTTCTGAAACTAACAGAATAAAATTAGCTCATTATGTGGAGGATATCAATACATTTGTACAAGAATTGTGCAAATTATCAATAAAAACAGCAGAATTATTGTAAATAAATTTGCCCAATGTTATATTTTTGTATTAATGAATGCAACAAACTCCAGTAAAGCCCTGAGGCACCTTCAAATGGAGATATTAAGGGATAATTTTGAGCTTTTTTCCAATAACTTCTGACCATGAAAACATTTTCAAAGGTCTTTGCAAGGGCTACTGTGTGGCATCAAAAGTCTTCAAAATAGAATAGAAGTGTTGGCATTGAAGAAAATAGGCCATGACCTGTTGCCGATTCTTGAATTTTTTGTGACTTGATTCACAAGGGATCCGGCCTTTGGAACTTGATCTTTCCATAACTGACGATTGATTGAGATAGCTGCTGGACTTATTACTAGGTCCGTAATTTTCTAGGCATTTCAAGACTGAACATATGCTCCTATTGCCATCACACAACCAATCACAGTTTGGATAGGATGACATCACAATCCTACAACCAATCACAGTCTCCATGATGCAGAGAATCCAATCACATTCTCAACTCATAAGCAGCAAAATTTAGGTCTTCTGAAGATCTTCCCAATGCATACCATCAAACGGGGTAATAAGGGACAAGCAGGATAAATCGAGACAGTCATCCCACATTTGGAAAAATGTTGTGGCAGCTGAACCAATCAAAATTTTGCAAAACTAAAAATACTGGTGTAATTTTCAACATTTTTACTACTTCACAC